GCAATCAGTAGGCTAATTTCTAATGAAGAGACCAATTTATATGATTGATTTTAATGTAGCCATTTATACATATGTAAACATTATTTAATTACCATTATAACTAGCTATCTCACAAATTTTTGTGACATCAGAAATGGATAATATATAATATATGCTTTTTTGAACATTTTAGCAATTTCAAAATATTAAAAAAATATTTTTTACATGGCACCCCTGCTCTTGACAGTCAGCACCCCAGTTGGGAAACACTGTATTAAGCCATTTAATAAATATATATTAAAACCATTACGCCTATGGAGAATACCCACAAGGATAGTAAACCAGACTTGTGTTTGTGTGTGTGAGAGAGTGTGATTTTACCTCCTCTGATGCCCTGTGAAGTCTTATTAATGGCTGTTTTCAAAGACTCCCCCATCTCTCATTGGTCAGTCAAACAGATGCCAGTCCCACCCCAAATGATGCTAGTTGAGATACTCAAACAAAAATAGCAATGTTTTGAAAGTGCCACAGAGCTTTTCAGTGGAATCAACCTACGAATGGCTTACTTATGTCTCTCCAAATTAAGCTGGGAAAGGAGAAACTATTTTAAAATCCAAAAATTACACACTTCACCTAGGGCTGTGCGATATGGCCAAAAACTCATATCTCTGTATTTTTTGGCTGAAATGCAATATACGGTATATATCTCAGTATTCTCTACATTTTCTATTTGGGTTGTTTTATTTATATATATCTATATATATATATCAGTTTCCCCTGCCATTATATTAGGGGCGCACACACACACACACACACACACATAAGTGAGCACACTCCCACTCGTATTTGTAAATATTAAGCCACCAAACGATTCATATTTAAATATGAATTCTGCGTGTCTCTGTGTTAATGAATGGCGCAGACGTGCGGTTTTGTTTACCACTCGTACTGAAGCGTGCGTGACGCTTGCGGTGATTTTAGCGTCTGCCGTCTCACTAAATGAGGACATAAATACACGAACAACATCTCCAGAACTGCTCTGAGATTCACTTCATGAGCATTTGACCATTTCATTTGAGTAAAACTATCATCATGTCATACACACACAGAAATGTAAAGGTATTCACGGCAACCCGTCAAAATAAAAGTTTGGTTTAACTTGAGGGCATTGGCAGAAATATATTACTGTTCAGTAGAATGTACGTAACAGACTGCTACTACTACTACTAAAATTGTTAAAACCTTATTTTTAAGGAATATTCATACAATATTTCTTCAGTGTTTTAATTGTAATATTAAATTAACTTTATTTTGCAAAAAATAAAATTTGTTTAATTTTCATTACTTAAAAGATAGATTAAATGAATGTTTTATGACTTAAAACAAAATGTAAATACACAACACAGAATTTCTGAGCCAAAAATCACAAGGCTATTGTAAGAATAAATGAAACTTGTTTTAATGCTTTCAAGTAGTTAGACATGCTAAAACAGAATTTGGTAACAATAAAACATAAGGTTGGAAAAAATAAAACATTTCATAGGGCCCTAAACATGTAATATTTGTTAAACTTTTAATAAATTGATGTTAAATTGTTTATGTTTCATGATTTTAATTTAGACATGCTTTTTGATTAATACAATTTTATTTAACCATTAAAAATGAGTCCAGAAAAAAAAAAACGGAAACATTCCCCCTCCCTCCCCCCAAGCGGTAAACCTAGGGGAAACACTGTGTGTGTGTGTGTGTGTGTGTGTGTGTATATATATATATATGTGTATGTATGAAGAGTTCATTTGCAAGAGTTCTGATAACTTTTTACTTT